TGTGCAAAATAATAGCTCTGGAAAAGTGCTTAGTAAAAATTGTGATGTCCTCAAACTGGAAGCGTTTTGCACCAGACACAGTGGTGACATGAGGTTACAGCTTCTAGGCCACTGGTCCAAGTCCCCAGGGTTATCATAATTATGGCTAAGAATACAAAAATTTGAGAACTGTTTTCAGTCTCATTGTTTGAATGTCCACTTTGTATGCTTTAATTTTGTAACTTGAACAACTATTCCTAAGATGACAACATATAATTTATCAACTAGTGATTTCTTACTATTTATTTTTTGAAATTCTGTATTATTACTACCCTTTTTTTCTCTTTAAATAAAATTTATATATTAGAAAAGGAATACAAAAATCTCAGGGTTGGAGTGAAGGCTCTGAGGAGAGGCGAAGGCTGGGGTGGGAAAGTGCTGTCAGTCAGGGGAGGTGGGGCAGGGCCAGCTAGCAGCTGCCTGGAGAAGGGCCTTGATCATCAGGAGCAGAGCAAATGCCAGGTAGGAAAGTGAGGTGGCAAGGTCTATGCTGCAGGTAAGCTGCAGTAGGATGGAGGTAGGAGAGCAACAAGGGCCAGTGTGGCTGCTGAGGGTGGAGAAATGTAGAGTCCAGGGCTGAGGATGCAGCTCTGTGGTTGAGCATTTGCCTACCATATGCAAGGCCTTGGGTTTGATCCCCAACACTTGAAAAAAGGGCAGAGACCATCATTGTGTACTAACTGGGACTAACTGGGACTGGGTGATTAGATGTAAGAATGTGGAGAAGTGTCATGGGAAGAACAGGGAGCTGTCATCCCATTCTGGGCCAGGCAGCCAGGCTGAATATCTGGGGCCCGCAAGGGAAGCACCCACACATCAAAGATGCTGTTGCATCTGGAGCCCAGAAGGAGGAACTAAGCCATCTGTGGAAGAGGACAGCTTTCCTGGCTGAGAATGGGGATAGTCACACCTGCCTCCCAGGAGGTCACCTGAGCCAGTGCCTAGGAAAGCTTGTTGAGCAGGTGTTACTTAGCAGAAAATGTAAATGGTTAGAGGCGAAACAAACCCTTTGAGACATGTCCAGGACTTGGTCCAGGATTTTCAGATGGTGACAGGGCACCCAGAACTGCTATCTTTTCAGTATCCTTTACTGGTCAGGGAGATATCCCAAGAAAGGTGCCTCAGAGTGAGCCCCCATCCCTGTTTATCCCCAGGCAGGGACAGCCAGGTACAGTTAAGTCCAGAGAGCCCTGTATCTGCTTCTCTCCAGAACAACTTGCCTGCCCCCTAGTGGATTTGTGGAGAGTTTCTCCGACAAAGAAAGGGAGGCAGGACTCAGTCCAGTGCTGTCCAGTTCCTGATGAGGAGACATATGAGGAGGCCTTGAGCAGATGGGACATATGCAAGGGAGTCCAGGGCAAGAGACAGCAGTACTCTGGTCCTCAGGAAGGAGTCTGAGCTTGGGTGTCTGGACCCCAGCTGACTCTAGAAACACATAAGGCCAGGGGTCTCCTCTCAGAACCTTGGTTCCTCGCCTATCACTAGGATGTGGGCACCCTCTCTGAGACCGCAAGGATGACTCCCAGACTGCACACAGCAGGTGCTCAATACATGTGGCTCTGTCCTGTTCCTCTGTATCACCTGTCCTCCTATGAGAATGTAGCTTCCATTCTAACTATCTTTTGAGTCAATGCAGACTTTCATGCATACAGATTCTTTAAATCAAGGTTCCCTTGCCATGGCGGTAGCCTCCTTCTGCCCTGCCCTGTTGTATTTTTTCTCCACTGATCTTTGCTGGTCAGAAACTAAGATCATAGAAAGGTGAATCAGGGTTAATCCTGCCCTCAGGAAGCCCCCAGTCTTCCAGGAAAGGCAACCCATACTACATGTAGCCCAAGTGGTCAAAAAGGTACAGAGCAAGTGGCCCTTTAAGGCACTTGGCAGTGAGAGGGTTCAAGGAAGACTTCTTTCAGGAGGTGGCAAAAGAGCAGAGGTTAGAGAGAAAAAGGAGGGTTTGAGGGATGGGAAGCAGTGGTCTGGGAAACAGCATCCAAACTGGTGCAGAGCCATCTGGGCAAGAGGGGATGGTGAGTAGGGAAGGTAGCAAAAGAAACCATAGGCTAATGTGTTCACCAGGCATTTGAGAGCAAGATTCCAAATGAACACCAGACCAGATGTAGACGAACAGCAGAAAGGGAATTGGGCAGGTGACCTTGGGAACTGGCATCACAGAGCCTTTGGGCAGATTAATTAATTCATTTGCTTATTCATTAGTTTCTCCTCCAATTTTGGCCTGTCCTGAGCATTGGACCAAAGAGCATGAACAGGACAAGGCTGGTCAGTCATGGGTGGAAAAGCATTTCAGGAGAAGGTGGCTTTTAGGTAGCCTTTGCCAGGTGTCTAGATGTTTTTTGGATGTTGGAGGGGCTCAGAAAGCAGAGAAAGCAGGAGGAACACAGTGGTGGTACCATGAAGGCTATGGGGAAGGCTAAGGACAACATGGCCTAAACGCGGGAGTGGTGAGGTGGTGCGAGCTCATATAGGGCTTTAAATACAAGGTTCAAGGGCTTGGGTTTTCCAGGGACCCATTTCCAACTGTACCCACTGAAAGAACTAGGAACCAAGTGGTTCCAGATAACCTGGCCCTGTGGGTACCTCCCAGAATTCTATGGCCCCATCTGCTACAGTGAAGCCATATCCTCTAGAGATAGCAGGAATGTCCCACCTCAAGGGAAGGAAGGCCCTAGACCAGTGGAGATCTCATGGACATCATGAAAGTCATGACTCCAACCTGGACATATGTGCAGACTCTTATGTGAATGGTCGGCTGGCTCCTCTCCAGAGTGGCAGCCCAGCTCTGGGGCCTCCCTGAGCCTTGCCAGGGAGGTGCTCTCCTCACCCTCATTCTGCAAAGGGGAGAGCTGTGTGCCCATGAGCCTGCCTCCCTGGGAGCCTTTCAGTGATCGTTGCTATTTCTTTCAGCTTTCATAGGTGCTGTTATGTCTGTTGCTCAGGTCATGAGGCAGCAGACAGATGGGCAGGGACTAGGCACCTCCCCCTCCCAGCCTCCATCTCCATTTGGAAAGTGGTCAGTAATTCCTGGCTCCCATGGAAACCCCTGGCACATGGCTGGCATGAAGCAGGTAAATGAGAAAGGATGAGGCCCAAAGCATCTCAGCTGAGACATGATTCAGGGTCCAGTGCGTGCTGGCCTGCTTCCCTCATCCCCAGGTGGTATAAAAAGCTTGGAACGCCATGACGAGAAATCTAGTTATGTGCTATGCTTTAGCTTTGGAGCCCTCAGGCTCTGCCAGGAGCCTGCCAGGAGTGGAGGTGTCTTGGCCCATGTATGTGGGTAGCTCACATGCTAGATGAAGGGCCAGGTTGCTCCCCAGGCCACACATCTGGAGGGCCTAAGAGCTGGGCCTACAAATGGATCCAGTCCTACAGATATCACAGATACATGATGTTTTACTGCTTCCAGACTAAGGTACCAGAAAAGACTCAGGCACATAATATGCACAAAGCTGGGTACAAGCAGACACAATGAAGTCTGAAAATGTGTGCATGTAGACATATGAATCCACATATGCATAGATGGACAACACAAGCAGATACTGCAGATATGCAAATGCATACAGATACAGTGACAAGCCACACGTACATAGGCATAGGCACGAGCTCATTGTCGCCTGTCTGCTAGTGGCCTTTTGAACTCTGACATAAATGTGTATAATGTACACACAACCACACAGGTCAGTTCACACAGGCCCAAGTGGGACAGACATGTCTCTCCCACACCTCTTAGTTAGTGTAACATCAGCTCCTTCCATTTGTGTTCTAACAGCACTTGTAAGGCAGGCAGGGCAGGGATGTGGTGCCTACTGTGCAGTGAGGATCTGAAGGTCTAGAGACATCAACTGCCAGCCACATCAACACTCGTGGAGGGAAAGCTAAAGGCTAGGCTGAATTTGGGGTTCATGTGTCTGTCGACAGCTATGGATTCTCACAGGGTGTGCACAGCTATTCTCCCAGAAGGCCTTCACTAGTTACCCAAAACAAACACTCGTCACAGATGAGAAAACCAAGGCCCTGAGAGAACATTGGCAGGCCTGAGATGAGCCACATTGAGAGGCCATAGAGAAACCATGGTTTCCATCCTCATACCACCCTGTGGCTATATCAGATGCACAGATATGACCACACGAAAGCCGTGGGCACAGGCCACAGACACATGCGGGTCCTCCCTACTCAGTGGCCCAAAGGCTCATGAGACTAGATGTGGTGTTTCCACTGGCCTCATTTAGTATTTGAGGAAACTGAGGCATGAAAAGAATAGAGTTAGAGTTGCACAGAAGGGACACCATGGCATCTCCCACAGCCAAGTCCATATGCTCCTTACATGTCTCCTATACCTTGCACACATTCATTCACACACACAAGCATCCTGCACTCGGGGTGCAGCAGTCCCCAGAGAGAACATTTTCCCAGTAACCTGAAGTTCAAAGTGATAGTGTTGTTTAACTCCTCTGAAGAGTCTTTTGAACTCTGAAGTTACCCATTAGGATTAGGTGATCACTCTTTGGTGTGAAAGCCACTTTAATAAATTGGTTGTGGGCTTTTGATTTTTTTTTTCTAGTAAGATATGTCTTGTTTTCCCAAGAACCTAGGAATTCTCAGCCTCCCTTCCCCACCCTGGATTTCGGGCCAAGGCCAGGACTCTCTGTACAGTGCTCCCAGACACTGAAGGTTTGGGCTGGCTGGGGGAGAGGCCAGGAAGGAGTGGCACACTCCGCATTTCCTGTGGGTTAAGCTCTATGCTAGGGACTTTAAAAATCCTCTTTGTGGGCCTTGGTCCTCTGTTGAACAATGCGGCAGCAATCCCATAACAGGAGTAATGAGCTCCCATGATAATGAGCTATTTGCGTCAAAGTAATTTTCCTGGAATAAAGCACTGTGTGGAAGGAAGTGAATATTTCAATTTTTATTGTTTCATGTAAGGAGCAAGTTTACCCCCAGGTCTGTACAGGAACCGCTGGTTAGGATCGCTCGTGGGCTCTTATTAATGAGCAGTCAGTGGCCACCAGGTTGCTCAGCAAGAGTCTTTTGTAGGAAGTGGGACAGGGTTTGTGGGGAGTGGGGGGCACAGAAGCCTCAGGCTGGTGCAAGCACTGCCCCACTCTGTCTGCTCCTCAGTGCTGGACCAGGGCTTCGCCTGAGCTCCCGGGCACACTTGAGCCCTGGCGAGCTTTGGCGAAGGCTGCCTTGATTTCTTGGTTTATGAGGTCCTGCCAGGGGTCTCTGAGGAAAAAAGAGAAACAAAAACTGTAACCCATTCCCCAAAACAAGAGTGTTGGGCATCCAGAGCCCGATGTAGAGCTGGTGAGTGGCTCCTTTATTTTCTCATGTATCCTGCTCCCATAGAAGCCTTGTCCTGGGCTCAGCTCCTCTTCCCACCTATAACTTTAGGGAACTGATGGTCAGACAGGTGCCACACAGAGGATCCCTGAAGGGCACACAGAGCGTGCATGTGTGGCTTGTGGCCCAGTGACCCTTAGGAGATGAGGAACTAGCTCCAACTCTGTCCCTTACTCTGGATGTGATCTTGGGAGGCTGGGAGGCTCCAAAGCAAGGGCTCTGTGACTGTCTGGGTGTTATGCAAATTATTGTAGCATTCCTGGATTCCCATCCTGAATATAATTTCATTTTTGTTTGCCAGCCATGGGTGCCTGGAGTAGGGAGACCTAAGTCATTGCCTTACAGAGGGAGCAAAGCAAGGCTCTGAGCAACAGCAAGATCTCACACCAATCTGGCAGGGCACACTTTTTTATTGTCGTGCCACTAATCTCCAGTCTTCTACTCTTCTGAACCCAGAGCCGCACACATGCTAGGCAAGCTTTCTACCACTGAGTTACATCCCCAGTCTTAGGGACACAGGGAAAGGGTTTGGTCTACAGGGAAAGAAGTCCAAGAAGGGGCCACTTTTTAGACTGTCTTTCTGACATGCAAAGAGGCATTTTTCTGCACTATGCTGTTTGAGTTGGAAGCTACAGCAAGGCGTGGTTGGAGAGAGACTTGTCCTCTTCTTCTGACCTCCAGCAGGCTCCTCAAACAACCTCAAAGAGAAAGCTAAATAACTTCTGCAGAGATGGGAAATACATACGATCAAGATAAAAGTATCTTTAGAAAGTTGAATTTTGAGGAAGACTCATTCTGTAGCATTCAATTCAGGTAAAATTTTGGTAAGTACCACAAGACAAGTTCCCATCCAGCTAATACCTAAGGCCCTCCTATGGAGATACTGTCTGTCTGCCTGTCATCTCCAGACAAGAGAAGAGATATGGGGGATTGTTTCTATGCAGGTACATACTTGGTAACCATCAGATATAGGGTGTGCATGTGTTTTTGTACACATGTGTATGCATGCATGCATGTGACCCCTGTGAGCTCATGTAAAGGATCTGAGCATTGAGTCTCCCAGCCTGGGGGTCTGGGGGGCTCTCAAGTCGAGTGATGTTTTCTGCAAATAATCTCCACTCTCTCTCCTTGAGCCAAGAAGATGAAACCATTTCTGGCACTATCTAAAGTTTCTGTTTGAGAGTGGAAATCACTGAGAGAGCTTAGGATGACAAGTGGTTGCTAAATCCACAGGTTCCCAACCCCAGGATGATGTGGCCAGGGGAAGACATAACTTTTCCAGCTGCAAGATCAGAGCTGGGCAGAAGGGTGTCATCAGAGTTCACATTTCCTGGGCATCAGGCACCAATGGGTTGGTGTAGAGGTATCTTGGCTGTCAAAGATCTCAGGGCACTTAGAGCAGGGAGAGTTCCATAAATGCATCAACAAGAAATACCAAGCAGTGCTACAGAAGTGCTAGAGACTCCCACCTGGGCAAGGATGGGCTGGAAGGTGATGGTAGGATTCCATTCAGAGTATGTGACCAACGCCACTTTTGATAGAGATAATATTTGAGCTAAAACCTACATGCTAGGACGGGGCAAGATGTCCCAGGTGTACAGAACAGTAAGGCCAGAGGTGAGCAGAAGCAGGGAACATTTTACCAAGCAACCAGGAAGCTTATGAGTGAGTGGTGAGCAGTGGGAGGTGTGAGAACATGGCCACCAGCCAGGCAATGGTTGGACTCAACAGGGCCACAGACTACTTGGCTTTAGTCCTCCACTAAAAAGATAGCTCCGTAAAAAGATCCATACAGGGAATTTTTGTATGGATCAAGTTTGTGTTTTTTAAAGATCACTTTGGCTCCTGCATGGAGCTTGATTGAGGACACCCAGTGGATTAGGGGAAAGTGACTGGGAGCACTGCGGTGGAACAGGTGAGATACGAGGTGGCAGAAGCATAGAGGCAGGTGTGATGAAAGCAGGGTTGCAGTGTGTGTGAAGGGAGGCGTGACACGTTCTGATTTGCTGACAGAGGAGATGAGTGGATGTTGAGAGATGGAGGGGCCCAGGACACTGTGCAGCTTTCTCACACAGCATGGTATGGCTACTGGTGAGAAGGAACCTGGAAGAGACCAGGTTTCAAGGGCAGGTGGGGATTTGCAGTCTAAAGAGCTGTAGGAACTCCTCAAAGAAAGACAACGGAGCAGCTGGAAGAGCAGCTGGAGGGGCAGCTGGAATGCACAGCGATGGTTGGGCCTGGGCACACAGTGAAGGTGTTGTCTGTATGGCAAGGGAAAGCCAGGAGTGGAGAGGGCCTAGGGGGCCTGTGGAACCACAGCATTCAGGGTGGGGAGGTGAGAGAGGAACTAGAGGGAGCCCAGAGTGAGGAGTGTGGAGACCAAGCCAGAGAGCGTTTCTAGGAAGAGGAAGGCAGAGGGGAAATGCCGCGGGGCCATCAGTGAGAACTAAAACTGCCCACAGATCTAGTGATACAGAAGGATGTCACAGGTGACCTTCCAAAGAACCATCTGGGAAGGCAGAAGTGGAAGTCAGCTGGTGTGGGCCTGGAGGCAGTGGGAGGAAGAATTAAGGTCAGAGTGAGCAGACAGAGGCCTTCTGAGGATCTGGGATCTGCTCAGGAGCCGGAGCTGTGGATGGGTGGTTCTGGTGGCTCTGGAATATAAAGGGAAGGGAATGGCCTTTTTACTGCGGCTGAGAGGGCTGAGGCTGCTTTGGCATAGGAGCAGAGAGCTGAACTGTAGTGGAATGGCTATAAGGGCCTCCAGGGAAGGGTAGCCTTGGAATGGGAGCACCCTGGGACAACTGATAAGAGCTGGTCAGAAGTGCTGATGAAGGGAAAGTCCCAGCAGGGAGATAACAAGCCTGTACAATGGCCCAAACTCTAGTGTGTGTGTGTTTTGGGATCCAGAGGGATACTTCATTCTCTGCACGCCTCGTACTAGTGGGATGACTTGGTTCCAGTGACCTTGGACCTGGCTATTGCCAGTACCTATATCCCTTGCCCTGTGGCCCTGTGGACCAGGGGCAGAGGGAAGCATCAACCTGCCAAGTGGGTATAAGCTCTTAGAGGATCCACTTCATGGGGGCCCTAAAAGGTGGGAATCTTTTACATTTAAAAATCCCATATCTGTAGAAACAGTCTGAAAAGTGACAAATATGCCTTAATGTTTACTAAATTTTACTAATGTTTACTCAGCCAAGACAGGAAGAACTCCACATGCTCAGCAACGAGAGAGGCTGAACGTATGGTGGTGGCCTCCACGTAGTGGCCCTGACCAGAGAGTGGTCCGAACCACTATGAGCATTGTGGGTGGAAGCACAGGATAGAGTGAGTAACCCAGGTGGCCTCACCAATCTGGCTATCTCCCAGGGAAGGTGGTGGATATTGATTATTTGAAGAAGTTTGTATTTTCCAAGTTTTCCCATGGAAGGCAGAAAGTACTTTTATACTCAGAAAAATAACAAATACCTCACTTTAAATAAAGAGTTCAGCCTTTGAGAAGTACCTCATACTCACCCAGGTTTGATGTGCAGTGGTGTGGACAGGGGCCTGGGGAAACCTGTTTTCCCCACCAGCCAGTAGGTCTCCTCCATGCCCTTCCCCTAGAAGAGACAGAAAGAACATCAGAACTTCCTACCCTGCCCCAGGCTTTGGAGGGAGAGGAGTGAGGAGTGAGCTAAGTTCCAACAGCTGTGTAGAGGGTGGTTTTCAACCTGGGGGAAGCTGTTTGGGTCCAAATTAAGCCTCTGCCAATTGGCCAACTTTTTCCACCTCTCTGTGCCTCCATTTTCTCTTCACCTCACAAAGTGATTGTGAAGATTAAATTAGCTAATGATTAATCAGTTAATGATATAAAGGAAGAAGGAATCATGAATCCTGGCCAGGTCCAGGATGCTGAGGCTGGAGGGTTCTAGGGTCTGATGTTGTCCAGCCTTCACTCTGGAAGGACCTGGCAGCCTCCTTGGGATAGAGAGTGGCTGCCTGGAGGTGAAAGGGATCATTTACACCCCAACTCTAGACAGTCACATTAACCAGATGGGAATCTCTCCTGCTGCCTATGGAAACTGGACCCTGGGGACTGGGACATTCTCTAACCTTCAACTCTGTCTGACCTCTGACATCAATTTTGTAGCCTTCATCAAGGCTGAGCAGGGCTTGGGCGGTGCTTCCACTGATGTGGATTCTGTAGGCTGACGGAAAAAAACAATAATGATCAAGTCACCATGTGGTGGCAGTGTTCCTAGCATTTGTTAAAATCAAACAGCCCCAGTTCATCCAGTCACACACACGGTTATGATTTACACAAAACCTCCGGCCCTCTTGTCTCTAGATAGTCACTAAGAGACCACAAGGAAAAGCAAATTACATAGATTGTTAAGGGAAACTCAGAAAGAAGCCAAAACCCCTGAGAACACAATATTTATTTGTCAGAAAGTCTATAAAGGCTGAGCCAGAGAAGACAAGCAGGTTTTGTTTTCTTTCTGAGCAGGACTCCCTGCTGTGGATAGCACAGCCTGTACAACTGGAAGTAGAGGTCTGGGGACTTCAACATTTTCAGTTGCTATAAGTCAGCAAGTAGTTCCTGCAGGCAACAAAGGCCTGAAATGTTGGGGCTGCCTTAGGATAATGGGAGCTGGCATGCAGTCAAAAAAAAAATCCAAACTGCAAATGCTCTGTTCATTGTAAAACGTGGAAACTGAGGCCTGTAGGAGGAGCATTCTACTCATGGATGCTACGCAAGCTGATTGCAGAGCCAGGGCTGGGCCCTGGGTCCCTCGGTCTCTTGAGTCATTGTTTTTTCTGCTAATTCCCTCATGAAATCATCACAAAAACCCTGTGGAAAGTTAGAAGAACTAATGATATACTTCATCTCCTTCCAATTGCTTTACTGACAACTGGAGTATGCTGTCACCAGGTGGTAGCATGGCAACTAAGCCCTGTTTCAAACAACCAGGATATTGTCTGTCCCCCCTCCCCCCAGCCCCCAGCCAGAACAGAACATCAGATACTCACGCAAACCTGTGGACTCCATCCGGGATGCAGTGTTGACAGTGTCCCCAAAGAGGCAGTACCGAGGCATGGTGACACCCACGACCCCTGCCACGCAGGGTCCTGAAACCCACATGAGCCTAGTGAGCCCTAGCAGGCCTCAGACCAGATAGCCCCCAGTTCCAACAGCACTCCCTGCAGTGTCCCCACACACTGCCACTCCGCTGGGTTCTAGCTGGTCCAAAAGACAGTGCTATCTGGAGTCGCCACAACACCCACCCAGACAGAAGATGACAAATGTGTTAGGCCCTGGGCTGGGGTTGGAGGACCCAGATAAATCAGAACCAGTCCCTGCTGTTGGGCAGCTGTCAGCCCTTGAGTTGTTTGAACTGTGATTCGTGCTGGCATGAAGGGAGTACCATGCTATTCCAGGAAAGGACCCCTAAGCCAGCCCAGGGGACTTCCTGGAAGAGGCTATGTGTGAGCTGCATCTTTGAGGATGACAGGAAGAGTGGGCAGCAAGCAGCAAGTACAAAGGCACCAGGTAAAAACTAGAGTCCAAGGGAAACTGTAAGCAGCCGAGTGTGGATGGAGGGCCACAGGGTTGGGGTGGGGTAAGGAGAGGGTGGAAGAGCTTATCAAAAGCTTGGAGGTACACAAGAGGAGCCATATGGAGGGAGAGAGAACTGGGGCATGTTAGAGACTTTGAGTCTCTTCCAGATCCCTCTCAGCAAACATTTGTTTGCATGACCACAAGATTTCTGTTCTGCCTCTTCCATCAGACTATCAGCACCTCTACATGGTGCCTTTGATCAGATAGATACAGAGACCAAAATGCTAGAAAAACAGAAAAGACTTGTGAACCTGAGATGATGAAGGAAAAATGGCAACACAGATTTTTTGGCATAGTTTCAGAATTTCAGAAATCCAGAAGCCGCCATTGGGCTATTCCAGCTGAAGGGTTGGAAGACTGACCCGGCCATCACCCCAAGCCACAGCCCATACCTGAGTGCAGCCCAACCCTGATGTGAATGGGTACATCTGGCGCGTGCCTCATCCGGAAGCCACCCACAGAGCTGAGGATGTCCAGGGCCATGTTGGCAATTTCAGCTGCATGTCGGCTCCCGTTGCGCTGGGGTAGTCCCGAAGCCACCATGTAGGCATCTCCAATGGTCTCCACCTGGAACCACAGCCCCATGCTCCAGTGTGAGAACATATAATTCCTGGCCTATTGCTCATCTGACCACAGGAGCCACCTCTCAGGAGCTCCCAAACCCGCTGTGGATCTATGGCTCCCAGTGTCATCTCCGCTGAGACTCCAGTTGAGCTACTTCAGCAACGATCAGGTCTATATGTTTCAGATGACTTCTGCCTATAGTAGGTGAACACAGCTTTTCTGTCTGGTGCAGGCCATATACTCCTTGGCAGTAGAGCAAGGGCCTTGTACAAAAGGCCATGAAGGTTGAGCAGGGCATCAGCTTTATATAGAGGGCTCATGTCTGGGCACCTCCTATGTCCTAAAGCTCCTGGCTTTCAAGGCGTATTGGAAGGATGTGGGGTGCTGCGCATTCTTAACCCCAGCTGAGCCTTTGGCCCTGGTAGACCACTTTGATGGTGTGGGCTTTAGTCCCTCTGCAAGGAGGGCCTGAGAGAGGATAGCAGGAGAGAGCCCATGTATCAAGATATCTTCTCCTCTAGCTCATGGTTTTGAAAGCATATACAGTCTCAAAACCACCTCATTGGAAGGGATATTAATGGTCGCCCACCTCATCTCCTTTAGGTGCACACCTTTCCTAGCTGGGATGGAAATTTCCCCAGGGAGGCCTGGGACAGCATAAGGGACCTGAAGTCTGTGTGCCACTCTCACCAACCCTCTCTGCATCCCTTTTTGCCATCATGGACACTCAGCACCTCCTTGCCCAGACAAGACACCGTGGTGCTGACTTCTCCCTATGCTGCAAGGATCCAGTGCACGAGGCCACATGTTCTAGTTCTCGCAAAGGGGCCATGCTCAGAGATACTGTCAGCCACCAGGTGAGGGCCGTGGTTTGTTGTGCTCAGATGTGTCTCCTCCCACACATAGGTGGACATGGCTGGAGGCATCTAGGTGAAAGCAAAAACTTCCTTACTAACAAATACAGGTGTGAATTCTAATTCCACCACTGACTTGCTGTGTGACCTTGGAAGAGCGTGGCTCCTTCTCTGTGCAGTAAAGATAATAATCCATCCCACTGAAGTGCATGAAAAGGGTTAAATGAGATGCCCTATGAAAATCCTTTGGCTAAATCAGCTCTCTCTGCTAAGAAGGCCTCTCCCCTTCTCTGCAGGAGTGGGGCAGGTGTTAAGCGCCTGTTGCTCAACCTTATGCTGCTGAGTGGATGGTGGATGAAGGAAAGTGCTTCCATATTTCTTAATCTCCATCCTAACCCACAGGCACTTTCATCCCTGTTTTATAAATGGAGCACATCTGGCTCAGGGAGGCAGCAGGCCAGGGTCTCTTGGTCACATATCTGGCGCAGATGCACTTTCCCTGTCTCCCTGAAGCTCCCAAGGGCTCTGTTCTGCACCGAGTGTGCCCATAAAAGTGCACACTCAGCGTAGCTGGTGCTGTGAGGGAGCCCCAGACCTCTGCAGAAACAGGAAATAGCACCCAGCTGCCTCCCAGGCCAGCTGGATTAAACAGCGTAACCAGATCCTGATGGGGGTGGAGGGGAAACCAAGGCAGATGGTGAGAGTGATGAGAGACGCGTCACACATCACAGGGAACAGGCCTCCTGCTTCCCACATCTGGAGGGGGTGCAGGCCTTGTTTTATTTCATTTTCCTCTGCCAGAAAGACGCAGACTTCTTGGCCCAAGTTCAGAGCACAGAACTGTGATTCAGAGCTGGGAGGGACACATGTGTGAGGAAAGATCAGCAGAGAAGGAAGAGACAAGGCTGGGTGACTCAGAGCAGATCAAAGCTGTGGGGTTCAGCAGGATGAGGTGAGGAATCTTTCCCTGGCTCATGGGACTGGACAGCCATGGAGGCAAGAAGGAAACACTAGTGTGTGAGACATGCTTGGAACTGTGGGCCTGGGCAGGCGTGGGGTGGGAGTGAGGCGACGTCTTGGGTATCAATATCTTGAGTCACTGAGGGCCACTTTTGGGTGCTGTCTTCAGTAGACAAAGCCCCTGGGGTTCCTGATCCTTGGCCTTTGCCTCCCTGGAGGGCTGTGGTGTGTCCTAAGACCCCCTCTACCATGTCTGAAGCAAACCCCAGGGCCCAGCTCCTGGATTAGCAAAATGGGCAGAGTTGAGGTGGGAAGGAGTCCTCAGCATGGGGGGAAAGGCGGGAGGCAACTACTCTCACAGTCTCAGCTTAAAAGTACTTTATATGGGGGACAGGATCCTCTTGTCACCTGTGAACTTGCCACGATGGAGGGTCTTACCCCCCATTCACTGGCAAGGAAACTGAAGTCTTTATTTCCTTCCCTAGGAAGGAGGCTGTTTATACAAAGTCACACAGAAGTTGATGGCCAGACTGAGATGTAAATGCAGGATTGAGGGGTGCACAGGGATTGGACCATGGAGGGCCTTGTTGGTTTTGCCAAGGCCTCTGCTGCCCTCTCCAGTGTCTCCCATCCTCAACCCACTGCTGGCTCCACATATCCAGTCAGCTCTCCACACTCACCAGAACCTCTCAGGGCTCAAGTCATACCAAGAAAATTCTGGGAAGACAGCATCTCTCTTTGGAGCCCTTCTGTTATCTTATGCCACATATACCCCTCCAGCTGGCATGGTATCCTCTTTGCCTCCTTGGGTTCCCCTAGTCATCACTTTCACTGGGGGGTTGGGGGGTGTCATCATCTCTTACCTGTAGGCCTGGGAAGCCCTTGAGGGCAGGCACCAGCGCTGGCTCCTATGACTGCTCATGTCCTATAAGGGTCAGGAGCCAACGGTCCTGCCAGTAAATGTTAAAGGGATGGATGACTGGACGGTGAACACATGGCCTCATAAATTGAAAACAACCCAAACTCTCCATGCTGTCTGGATCCACACCCATTGCAACATGACTCTGGAGTTTCTTTCAGCAAGAGGTGGAGTTTATTTCTCCACCTTTGGGTAGGTCTTTTCCTTTGATCATTAGCAGATGTTGAGAATAGTATTTCTGATGCCAGGTTACCTTGCGTTCTTCTGTCCTCTTTCTCCAGACCAAGACACACTGGGTTCTCTTAGCCAAAGCTTCAAAGATGTGAGGACCAGCTAAGATCACCAGACCTGCCCACCATGCTAACAGCCGATCATAATGTATGAATGAGTACAGAAGAACTTTCAGCTGACTCTTAGGCTTATGACCAATGGTAAATGCATATCATTTTATAATACTGGACTTTGGATGTATTTGTTACACAGCAGTAGATAAAAACGCATAAATGGGAAAATGGAAGTAAATGTTCAATGTAGACATAGCAGTAAAGGAAGGGATGCTAGCTTCCTGCTATTCTCACCTTATATACATCATAGCTGCCCAGAACAGCATCGTATAGTGTATAGAGGTCATTGAGCAAGCCCACCACCTCAATGGGTTCACTCAGGGCTGAGATGGTGGTGAAACCCACAATGTCACTGAAGTAGATGGTAACCTGGTCGAAGTACTCTGGCTCCACAGTTGTCCCCATCTTCAGAGCTTCAGCCACAGACCTGAAGGAATAGAAGAGGCCAGAGTCTCAGGGTGGGAGGGTCATTTTTCAGTGCAGAGGTCAGAGAAGGATATTTTGGAGAAAGCAAAGAGTTGAGTGTTGGGGGATTTGTGACAATTGTGCCAATGTGCTGGCTGCCCTGCAGCAAATACTTGTCTTTCCCTAGACCTGACTTCCTCTGCAGTGAGACGCAAATGCTGTGTCCCACTCCCTCTCCCAAAGGTTTGGGAGAGCAGAAGTTCAACACTGGTGTGCTCAGCACGGCACCTAGCACTTGGTGAGGGTCTGTAAAACTGTATTTAGTAAATAAACAGAAATGAATAATTGAATGAATTCACAAAATCTAGATTTTCTGAACATTTACTATGTGGCAGGACACTTTAACTAGACCTGAGGCTAGAGGCACACTCAAGTTCCAAAGACCACTCACGGGGGGAGAATCTGTGAGAGCAGCCTCTCTGTCTTCTGCCTCTCCAGCTCCAGCTCCTCTGTCCTCTCCTGCACCAGCTCCTCCAGGCTCTGAGAATACTTCTCCAGCATCTGCAGCATGGAGTCAGCAACACTGGTCTTCTTGCCTTGATTGATGCTTCTGAACTGAAGATTGAACAGAAATTTCAGTTCATCCACATACATCATCCATGAAAGTGCCTGGACCTCATCTTGGGAGTCTGGTCATAAGCATGAACCCAGCGTAGCCCCAGCCTGGAGAACATGGATTGTTAGGGGTAGATTTGTAAGTAGATGGGTACAGGTGGCAGGGTGACAATGACAAGGGAGGGACATAGGTATGAGCAGGAAGGAAGGAAAAGGATTTTGCAGAGAGTCCTCGGTACAGCATGGCATGACAAGTGTATCAGCCTCTGCCCACTTCCTCATACAGCAGTGTGAGTCAACTTGGGGCCAGTGCCTCCACTCCTGCCTCATTTGCCACAATAATCTTTGACCTCCTGAGGGAGTCTCTGGGCCCTGTTTTAGGAACTAGTGGTTCATTTTCACTTGGCCACTCACCCTCACAGTGACCCCTTGGAGCTCATTTACTCTGAGGCCAGACTCCCATCTGTGAAGTGGGCCACCCCTCACTCTGATGCTGGGACACGGTGGGGGAAGAACTAAGAGCAGCTTTCAGAGGATCCTTGGGATCTCATGTCTGCATTCTTCCTCTGGTCCCCCCCTTCATGAGATCACCTCACTTGCCTGTGAATCTTACTTTGGCAATTTGCCATTGTCTCTGGGTAGTGGAGAGCAGGAAGGGGAGGTAAAGATGTCACCCAGGCTTGACAGCTTGGCCCTAGGGAACTGTTGGCCAGCTCAGTCAGGCCCACACACTCTACTGTGCCTGAGGACTGGTCCAGACTTGCCTTGCCCCTCTCACTGCAGTCCCTAAGCTGACTAGGGCACTCTCCGGTCCCTCATCTTTCTCTCCGTGACTCAGGAAGCAGGACTGTCTCCCAGGCCACAAAGGGCCTCTCAGCACAGGTTCCAGGAGGCCCAGTCCAGAGTGAGGCTCCGTGTGTAGCTGTAAGGACAGACAGAGATGCCTAGGGCTCACTTAGATACCTTGAACAAGTCTCCTCGCTCATCTGCGCCTTGTATTTGTTCTGCAAAACCATGATAATGACACTTTTTAGAGGACTGCTATAAGGCTACACAACAGAAGCAAAGTAGTTAGCCAGGGAGGCCATATAGGAAGGCCTGACAAATGTCCTGGGAATTGGACATTCCTAAGAAGCGTTTCTGGGTGGGTGGACTCAAGGAAGATGATGCTGGCCCTGGATCCCTAACTGCGTTATCTCCAGGCGTTAGGCCCATGGTGAGATCTTGCCAGGCTGAGTGAGGACCACAGAGAGATGCCCGCCTCTTCTCGAAGCCCTAACCTGGGTGTAGATCTGGTCCAGGCTTGGTCTGTCATCAGGAGCTTCTTCCCAGCACTGCTTCATCAGTTGGATGCACATGTGTGGCCCACGGTCAGCAGACACCTGTGGCCGGCACAGGGGAGGGGGAAATGCCACCTTCCTGATGATTTCTGCAACAAACATCATGTGGATCATGGGCCTGAGGTCCTGAAGGGCTCACAGAAGGGTAAATCTTAGGGGCCATGTGGATCAGCCACCAGGATGCTTCCCACCCCTTTTCTGGTCCCAGGGTCTGGCTGGCCTGTAGACAGAGCCTTAGTAGTTTCTTGAGTCTGCTCAGGGTGCTGGTCTTAGACCAGGTACTGGGAGAGCTGGATTTGAACCTGGATCTGCTACCACTTCTTTATGAGAAGATAGAGAAGGCAATGACTTTCTCAATCTCAGTCTTCTCATCTGTGAAGTGAGTTCAGTAAATGCCCTTTTTGAGAGGGGTGCTGAAGGAGGTGACAGACACAAGGTGATGGTAATTGGTAGGTTCTCCCCTCATTTCCCCTGATCTGTTGTCAGTGGATTAGCATGGGACTTCTAGTTATCCAGTTACACTTTGTACATGTTGTATCAACTTTCTGAGCCTCAGTTTCCCCACTTATAAAGTGGGTACACAATGCTACAGACTTCTTGGGTTCTTACGAGGCACAGCAGATTAACTTTCTCTGGGAAGGGCTGGGATCTAGAGGTGGGAACCTCTGGAGCCAGAAAGAGAAAACTTTCTCGGGCCTTCATTGGGCTCCTTAGTGGAGGTAGCACAGGGGTGACTGTCCCATTTTACAGATGAAGAAAGGCGCTGGGCACAGGACCAGTTCAAAACAGACCTTGGAGCACAGGAATGTGTGCACATGGAGCCCATAACTCCACACATGGGCACATGCATGCACACACACTGACTACTGTTTTACAAAGGTGTGAAGGTGGTGGTGTGGTGAATAAGATACAAATTCATTGCTTTCTGGGCAAATTTTTCATTATTTTTGTAGTCAGCAGATGCTAAAAGTCTAATAGTTGAGTTGTACAGGAGGCTCCAAGCTTTTTCTTTCTCTTTTTTGGTACAGTACTGGCTTCTAGGGAGCCCTGACAGAGAACATAGAAAGGAGGAAGCATTTTGGAAGTTAGGTCCTGGCCCTGGTGCTGGAAAAGAGAAAATGTCTACCTGACAGGTGATAGTGGGGAACAGGGGGGGGGGGATTATCCTGTAAGGATGGGGACAAAAGTGTGGGGACAGAGAGGCCCTGAGAAAGGTCCTACCAGGCTGATCACTGAGCCTCCAAATACTGAGCACCCTGGCCACACCAGCCACAGGCCTGGTGCTGGCACATTTTTATTGATCTTCATTTTAAAGATGAAAAACCAAGGCGTGGAGAGAGTGAGTGATTTGTATGAATGTGGTGGGACTGAGGTCTGCATAGACACATTGTGTTCTGGACTTGGAGGGGAGGGGGTGCCTTAGGGTGCCTGAGGCACTTGAAGATGGCAGTGGCAAGGATGGGGTCAGAGTTGGCATCAATAATGAATGCCTTTAGCTGTTGGAGCTGGTCAGCTGCCGCTTTGGCAGAGTAGCTGAAGGTTTGCTTGGCTTATGTCAAGGAAACCCAATCCCCATAGTCAGACTCAAAATGCCTATGCAGTGATTTTCAGGCCTGGAGTTTCTGATCGTCACAGAGCTCCCTAACTATTTCGAGACTGCAGCCAGGGGCAGGCCAGAGTGGGGGAGATAGACATACCTCCTGCTGAAAGCCCCCAGGATGAGTAGGGTGGGCTTTGGGTCAGCACCTCTTGAAAGATGATGCCCATGCTGAAGACATCCCCTTGGAGGGTGCCCCGCCAGGGCTCCCGGGGACCCCGAAGGAGCTCAGGAGCCGTCCACAGCAGCTCTGCAATCACAGGGCAGGGTCACATGCATTGCAGCAGGTTGGGCCAGGCAGAACAGCACTTCGAAACTGTGATGTTGTTGCCTTTCCTTATTCTCTGGGAAGACATAGGTGCTTCTATTCTCTGGGGTCACACATGAAAAGCCTGAGGCTCCACAGGAAGTGTTTGACAGTAGGATATCTTCTCCCCCTCCCCTGCTTCTCAAATCCCTAGATTATACAGAGGTCTCAGAACCTACTGGAAGGCTCCTTTCCACTCTGGAGCTGACCTTCTGGGGATGGCTGGGGTCCAGGCGACTGCTGGGCATGCAGGAGCTCAGCATAGCCGTAGTCAGTGACCTTGAGCACAAAGCGGCCATCCACTACACAGTTCCGGGACTTGAGGCGGCCATGGGGGAAGTGTCGGTGATGCAAGTATCGCATGCCCTGGGGTGGACATAATGGGGACCCAGTGGATCTATGATGCATTAGAGGGACTTCAGAACTCCCATGGACCCCAGAAGGCCTTCCTGCCTTATCTCCCTTTTATTACACTGTTCTAGCTTCTCAGACAAAGCTGAAAGAGTCCAGGTGTGGAACACCTGAGTATGTTTTATCTCCCTGCCCTCCCGATGCCCCCATACCTCCAGGGCAGGTTACTCACTTGGATCAAGTCCAGAAGTAGGGAGGCCTTGAAGGTCCAGTCTAGCCGGAGGGCCTCGTTGTGCAGCAGGTCCTCCAGGCTGCCCCGGGTGCAGTACTCCAGCACTACAGCGCTGACCCCAGGGGCCATGAAAAAGCCCAGGCAGGTGGTAACATTCTCATGATGCATCTCTCTCATCTGCTGAAGCAATAGGTACCTTAACAGCCCACAGTGGACCCTTTGAAGGCTGGGCCAGGTACAGTCTACATGGAGACCCCCAGTACTTAGCGTTAAGCACAACAGTGAGCATAGAGAAGCATTAAAAACGATGGTTGGTTGGTTGTGTTAATGGATAGATGGATGGGTGGGTGAATGGATGGATGGTGGATGTGTAATTGGTGGGTGGTAGGTAGATGGACAGAGAAGTGAATGAACAAGTGAGTGGAAACATCATGGGTAAATAGATGAATAAACTACTGTCTCCTCCACAGAGTAGAAATTTAGACTTTCTTCTTAAAATAAGTGACACCATTGAAACTGTCAATTCTCTCCCCAAAGATAAGATATTGAGAGGGGAGGAAGAAAATCAAAGGGATCTACTATGAGCAGGTAGCAATGTCCCCGAGAGTTGCCTAGCAGATTACAAAGCTCACACTCAGGGCTGGAGATGTGACTCAGTGGTATAACCCTTGCCTAGCATGCAGAAAGCCCTGGGTTCAAGGCAAACATCATGAATCATAGAGAGAGTTAGAAAGAGACAGAGAGAGAGAGAGAGAGAGAGAGAGAGAGAGAGAAAGAGAGAGAGAGAGAGAGATGAATACAGTGGAAATTGTCTTGTATGCGTCTGCATGCAGGACCAGAAACTTTCATTTGCTGTCCCTTGTTATCCTTTCTTCTGGTGCTCTAAGATCCTAGGTCAGAAGTCCTCTACCTTGAGTTAACACCTTAGACCGGACACATGGGGAAGCCCTGAGATCACAGAAAGAGGGCAGATAAACCCAGCAAAGCCCAGCGTTCCACCCTTCCTGCCAAAGCACCAAGTGTGAATGAAGCCATTTTAGGAGCTCTGCACCGAGAAAGAGCAAAGTTTTCTGGAAAGGTCCATAGAGTAGATATTTCAGGTTTTGCGGGTCGCTGTACCAACCATTCATTTCTGCCATTGTAGTACGAAAGCAGCCACAGACAACACATAAAAGAGAGCACGACTTTATTACAATAAAATTTCATTTATGGATTCTCAAATTCCACAGATTTCCACTGCCAAAAACACATAAATATTTCCAGCTCCCAACTATAATATACTTTCCCTTGAGGGCCTGTACTCTACTTCTTTAAGTGTGTACTTGAAAAATTCTGTTCAATAAATCTTTTATGCCTCTTTAAAAAAAACTTCATTTAACAAAGCAGTCATCATGTCTGGTTTGCCTGTGATTCAGTTTACTAACCTTTGACTGCCCGTTTATTAGCTAAGCACTACTGAGCTGTCCTGCAACCAAGGTAAAGCAAAATAGAATTGCCCAGTTGAGCCCTGCCAAAGTTTCTTCCCCACACAATTGTAAGATAAAAAATGGTTATCATTTTAAGGCACTACCTTTCAGGGTGAGCTGTTACACAGTGGTGGAGAGAACAGCATTGGTAAGGGTGCCCAGAAGCTTTCTGGCTAATCCAAGCACTTTCCAGATTTGCCTGTGATTCCAGCCATTCAGGAGGTAGAAACAGCAGGATTGTTATTTTGAGGCTTCCTTGGGAAACATGATAAAAAACTGGCCTCAAAACTTAAAATTTAGGAGGCTGGGATATAGCACGACACTCTCTGGCATCACGATGGAGCGGGGGACAGAGACAGAGACAGACAGAGACAGAGAGATGGAGATAGAGATTGAGAGACGGAAAAAACAAAGAGACAGAGATCTCCTCACACTGGTTGCAAGATGACCACTGGAAAATATCTAACTTGACTCTCCAGCTTTATTTCAGAGCGGTGATGTTACAAACAGTAATAAAAAATAGTAAAAGTAAGGAGTAATAAAATTAATCACTGGTTGAAGGTATACCACTTGCCAGAAACATTTCTGGGTTATTTTGTATGTTCCCTGCACCTCCCCCGACCCCCAGTTCCCCTGCAGCTGGACACCGCTGGCTCTGTTTCCCAGGGAAGCTCATGTTCCTTGGAGTCAGGAGCCTATCTGTGATCTCTGCCCTCCTCCCACAGTGCCTCTTAAGGTGGGGACAATCTCAGGACAAAAGTACTTATTGGTTAGTGATGACAAGTGGCCAGAAGCTGCTCCAAGGAAAGAACCTCTCTTTTCCCCAGCCCAGAACACAGCCTAGCACATGAACAGCAGATGAATGCCTGGATGGGCAGATGGAGGAAGGGTGCAGCACTGTGTCCCTTGATGGTGCTGAGATGCCATGTGACAGCACTACTAGAAGGCATTGTGTACCCAGTAGTTATGGTGAGAACAATATTGGCATGGTAATGTGACCTTAGGATGTGTATGTGGACAATGGTGATCATAATGGTGTCTAACTACAGTTGAGTTGCTGGCTATGGCAGAGACCATGCTGGCAAGCAGGACTTTCTGAGGCCAGAAGCTTGCACACCAAGTGGGGATCAATATACACAGATTGCCCTGAACAGATCTTCTCCTGCCTCCCTCGCGCAAACAGCCCTACCTTCCTCAGGAGGCTGAGGCAGCTGGGGAGCAGCTCAGGCGCTGTGCCTGCTTCAAACTTCTTCAGCCAAACCCAGTCTCCCTATCAAGGAAGAAGAATGGTTTGCCTATTGTTGTGTGACTTCAGGAGATCCTTCTACCTGGCTCAGCCCCAGCTTCTCGGCTGGCAATGTGCTCTTCTGTGCTGTGTGCTAGACAGAACCTGGTCAGCAGGACCATAGCTAGACTTTTACTTGGGCCCAGGCAGAGCCAAACCCCTGGGCTTGACTGACAGACCCAAGTTCTAGTCTTGACTTTACCACTGCTAGCTCTGTGACCTGGGTCAGGGGATTTCGGTTCTCTGAACCTCAAGTTCTAAACCTGTAAAGTACAGGAGTTAACTCTGCATCTCCAGGACTAATGAGATGGTGGCTATGAAGCATGTTAGTTCTCGGCCTTGAGATCAGCTTGACTCTGCAGGTTTCAGACAACCTTAAATCCCCAAATCCTGTGAAGAATTTCCCTTTGACCCAGGAAAGGAGCAAGGGAGAGTAGGAGAGATGTTTTTAAATTGGGGCTCTGTTCTTGTCTTGGGCTAGCACAGTGCTAGCTTCAACCTCAGACATCTCTTGCCTTGCTCTTGTGGGATGTATCTAGTTGGCTCACAGACAACACATACTTTGCACATCACTAAAGCCTCCTTTCTGCAGAAAAGGGACGAGATGGAATTCTCTGGGAGACAAGGTAAAAAAGAAGCAAGAGTCTCAGGTTGCTTTGCATGAAAGCAGTTGGCTCCTTAACTGTGGGAGTCTCAGAATATGTCAATCTGAAGTTCAGCATCACTGCGTTGTTGAACTTCAGAATGACAGCACCTGACAAATTGCAGTGGCTCTGGAAACCTTATAGTCTTGTTGGTTTAACATCTAACTTTCTGGTCTCCCTATCAGCTTAGGTCCATCCTCTGCCTATGGACTTGTACAGGACTGGATGCTGATATCAGGGCTTTGGGGACCAGGAGTCTCATGTTGTATGACTGTTATGGTTTAGATCCAGAATATCTGGTGTGTTCAGAGGCTGTGCTTTTGCAAGGTGATTGGATCATGAGGACACTATAGGTTAGGGTTAGTGAATTGATCCAGTGATAAGTTCACAGCCAAATGTGCTGTTAAGAGGTGAGACCAGGTTGAAAGAGGTATGTCACTGGGGAGTGATACTTCAGAGGGTGTATCTTCCTCTCCCTTCCCTCTCTCTGTTTTCTGGCTACCATTTAAACATCTGTCCTCTGCCAAGCCCTTCTACCTTGCCATTTCTTCCTTGGAGCCAATGGACCATAGACTGAATTCCCACAAATTCTGAACCTCTAAATTGTGGTTATCAGGTATTGTGTTTTGGTGATAGGAACACTAACTAATACAATGACCTAAGCGGTGCCTAGGGTGAAGGTATCAGGAATCATGAACCATGCTTGGCTGGGAGTTGGGCGTCCTGTTTCTCAACTGTACCCCTGTTGCTGACTTGCCAGCGGACCCAGGAGAACAACTACTACCATTCAGGCCAGTTTTCTATCTATGACAGAAGTGGGCCAAACATTCTCCAAACAGATATAGCTCCTCAGGTCTCCTTGGTGGCAGAAGACATTACCTGGTACAAGGCCATGTTGGTCTGACAGACGGCTGACAGACTCCTTGCTGACATCTGGGCCACTGACCTCAGGCTCCCACCATCAGCCATGCTTCTTGATTCACTTACATTGTCCACGTTCAGCTGCTGGAGGGGGCAGGCATGGTCAAGAGCCCAGACCCTGCCAAGATCAGCTGCCTGCAACCCAGCCCTACCCCACACCTACCCATTGGCTTGAGTGCTTGTGGAGGAAGGTGAGTTCCTGGGCTGTCAGCAGGATGCGGTGGGGGCTCCATATCAGCTGCAGCTGCTGGATCCCCAGTCTGGAGACAAAAGACTGAGGTCAGTAGGGGTGCTACACAGGTTACCCCCACCGCAGCCTGGCTCTTGGATCTGCCTCTAATTCACAGTCCTCTTCTGTTCTCTCCTTGTTTCCATTTCCATGTCCCACCAGTCTCAACTGAGGGCACTGAACGCTGTCCTTTCAGAAACCTTTGGCCTTGGGCTCAGGTCTGGACTTACTGAGGGCCTGATGTGGCTGCTGGGCCCAGCCACAGTGTTTCCAAGGTGCTTGGAGGCCCCATGGTATAGCCAGAGCTTGGGGTGAGCTGGGAATGAAAGGCTGCCTCCTTCCAGATGTGGTTGAGGCTCAGAGACCATCCTGATTCAGGAGCACAGCAACTGGGACACCAGGGAGAATTTGTTTTTATAGCTGAAGGGCCCTTGGTGAGGTTCTTGCGATGACAGCCTGAAACTCAGGGGTCAGAGTATCCTCTAAGGTCACAGACCTCTTCCTGGGGTCTCAAACAGACCTTCTCAGCTTGGACCTTGACACTCCTGACTCTAGGTGGAAAGGAACACTGGGGTCCTGAGGTCCTAGAGGATGGAGGCAAGGAAAGCCCCTATAGGTTGCCACAGGGAGGCCCATAGGGGAACAAGAAAAGCCAGAGCTGGCTCAGGCCAAGAGAGTCTCACCTGAGGAGGACAATGAGGACCCCTCCAGCCAGTGCCAGGATGCAGGCCAGTGCCAGAGCCAGGAGACTGCTCAGGGGCTGTGTAGCTGTGGGGGTGCAGGGAAAGACAGGACTCACTACATGGTGACAACCCCTTCCCTGTACACTTATGCTTACTTCCTGGGCATCTCCCCTGGGAAATGGGAACACACTGCCTGTCTCCTCAGCTGTGAAGCTCAGAACTCCTATCTGTATAGCAGGGCGATGTTCCATGCTCCACTATAGTCCTGGCACTGAGCACAGTGCCTTGGGCAAATAACACACTAGGTAAAGTCTTCCTCTCTGTCCCTCTCCCAGGAAATTTCCTAGGATTTGCATTTGTCCAGGAGAGAGATGGTACTATGAACCTGGGGAGCACAGGTGAGAAGCCCTAACTTGACTACAAGAACGCAGCTTGAAGAACAAAGATTTAGCTAGGCAAAGTTGGGTGAGGTAGAGGACCTAGAAAAGCACTCCAGGGGAAAGACAGTGCGCTGTCAAGGGCAGCCTATCAAAGCAGTGTGTGTCCTGGGAAAAGCAAGGAGTTGGCTGTGCCCATGGACTGGGGTCGTGAGAGCACGGTGAGCCCAGGTCAGGAGGAGGCAGGGGCCACAGAAGTTTCAGGCAAGGAAGGGAGGTGAATAAGCCTAGTCAAACCTACCCTATTCACCAGTGACAGTAACTGCAACTAGTTGTGCATTAGGAAATGTGAGGTGGCCCTCTCCACACACTTTTGTGTGCACATCTCTATATACTTCCACATGTGGATGTCAGCTCTTATCATATTTGACACACAAGATGGATGCATGAGAGGATTCAGAATTATTTGGGCCTCCGGATGGATAATCACATTCTCCACTAGGAAAAGACATTTGGCACTTGCAGTTGGAAGACTTGTGCTCAGGTTGAGCTCAGTCACTGCTTTTTTGTGTGACTTTGGGTAGCTTATAAGGTTTTTCTTATCTTCAGTTCTCCAGAAGTGCCCATGAAAAATAATGGCCTAGAAACAAATCTATGATAACTGTTAGGAGATCTGAGAGACAGGAATGTCTCTGTAAGTGCTTTAGCCCTGCCCATCTGAGGGATTCTTTGCTCATCTTCCCTGGTGCCACATAGAGCTATTGGCTCAGTCTTCTGAGCGAACAATGAAGTGTCATATCACTTCTTTGTGTCTGTTCCTACTACCCATGCAAGACTATCCATATGGGGAACTTTAATGAAGGATGGATGAGTGGATGGGTGATAGATGGATAATTGGAAGGATGGATGGGTGGCAGAGCAGATGGATGGGTAGACATGTATAAATGGGTGATGGGTAGGTGGATGGGTGATGGGTGGATGGGTGATGGGCAGATGGCAGAGGTGGATAAATGGGGGTGGTTGGATGGATGGATTGATGGGTAAAGGGATGGATGAGTGGTGAATAGATGCGTGGATAGATGAATGGATGGATGGATGGATGAATGGCTGGGAATGGTGGATGGGTGAGTAGATAATGAATTACCTCTCATACAAAGTGTATTGGGGTCAAACCAGCAGCTGGAGTCAGAGGCTGGAGGAGCCCCTCCTGGAAAGTGTATGGCCTTGCCCAAGGGCTTCACTTGCCATGTGGCTGTGTCCATAACGTATGTGGGGACCAACTGGCTTCCTTGACCATCAGTGTCCAAGATGACATATTGGGCCAGCCTCCTGCCCCTCTCATTGGTCCGGATCCTCTGGCTAAAGCCTGTCACGTCAAGAGTTCCTGTATGGTTCCCTAAGCTTGCTCCTGAGAGCCCTGCTCCCTGGCTCTCTGAGTGGTTCAGGGCATGGGCCAACAGGACAACAGCATCATAGATGGTTCCAAAGAGTGGGGACACCTGGGGAAGAGAAAGTCCTTCAATTGCACAACCTCACAGCATAGGCTCCTAGACAGGAGGCCCTGGTCTGCTGTTAGGAGCAACTGTTTAGATTAGCACTCTGTCCCACAGTACAATCCCACATTATCCTACTCAGCAGCTTCCCAGTCTCTATGACCATCATCACCAACTCTGATTCAAAATTTTCTAAAACAAAACTCTTGCTTGAGGTAGCAAGTTCTACCTCATTGTTCTTCATCTGAATCCTTTGCCTGACTGCCTTCTGATCATTCAGAGATCAGCTCAAGTGCCACCTCCTGAGTAGGCCACCTTGCTCACCTTGTCCCTTATAACCCACTACTCCATTGTAGCCTCTATCTCTTGATCCTCTACTAGTTCTTGTCACTGTTTGAACTCTGTCACTGTACATCTCTCCCTAGCACAATAAAGTTCCTGGAAAGCCAAGTCTGACTTATTCACTACCTGGCACCTGATACTTCTTATTATGGCACGTGGGAGGGACTCAATCCACATTTTTCAGATGAATGATTGGTTGACCCTCCTTGTCACTCCCTCCATACATTACTGTCTTCTTACCACCAAGAAGCAGACAGCCCAAGAGACAATGTTCAGCTGAGTCTTATGAGTGGAAATCAAGCCAGCAGCAGCATCCTCATCACTAACACTCTGCATCTTAACCCCAGAAATCCTTCTCCACCTCATCAGTATTCCCCACATTTCCTCTTGATCTTCACAAATTGCTAGACAGTTAAAACCAAGAAAGGATGTCCATAACAGAAGAGGGAGGAAAGAATGATAGGAACTGGGAATGCTACAGCTGGAGGGTAGAAACCAAAGAGAACCAAGAGAAGAACTGACAGAGTAGGCCATAGTATGGGGGAGGAAGGGAGGGAGAGAGAGAGAGAGAGAGAAACAGAGACAGAGAGAGACAGAGAGACAGAGAGAGAGAGAGAGAGAGAGAGAGAGAGAGAGACAGACAGAGAGACAGAGAGAGACAGAGAGAGAGAGAGAGAGAGAGAGAGAGAGACAGACAGAGAGACAGAGAGAGACAGAGAGATACTTAAATGACTCTACCCAGAGAAGAGGGCAGAGAGATCCTTTGTTGAACAAAAGGCAGGCTATGTGCCCACAGTGAATGAGTCCACTGTGGGACAACTCACCTGCCTAGGCCCCACCCTCATCATGTAGTAGAATTTGATCACCTACCTGCTGTAGCTCCAGGTGGGCAGGCACTTCTCTACCCATCCCAGCAGCAGCAAAAGCCTCATTTTCAGGGATGGACTCCAGGCTGACAGTGAGCACCGCGTCGTAGGCCTCCTGCAGGGGCCCCCTGTCACCCAGGATGGGGTAGGAGTGGTTGTGGTAGGGCAGGGCAAAGAGGAGCGTATCATAGGGCAGGAAGACCAGTCTTCCATCCGCTAGGCCCTGGGCACCAGCATGGGCCAGCAGGGCAGTCTGTTCCAAGCCTCCCAGCAATGCTGAGTGCATGCACAGCACCACAACTGGGAGAGGGACAAAAGACTTATGTTTGAGGGCCCAGGGCTCTGTGGTCTGCCCGGAAGCCCTGGACCCCGTGGTTCTGGAGAGATGCTCAAACCTCTGCGGCCACATCCCACTCCAGGCTTCCCCATTGGGACTCTGCTTCCCCTAAACAACCACATTTCCCTGAAAATAAGACATAGCCAGAAAATAATTAGCCTAGAAATAAAAAATAGCAGCCCAATTAGCCTGCGTCTGCCTTACCTGTTTTACAGAGTGGCTACCAAACAAGAGAACACTGATGGCAGCTGAGACAATGGCAGGCAGATTGGGGCTGACATTTTTGTTCACTGGCTTTTAAGGCTTATTATTTTGTAGCTAGGGATTTATTTTTGAGGAAAGGGGAAGCTATAGCCAAGGCCACCAAATGTGGGTTCCACTTGTAAAAAACAGTCTCTTCAAACAACAAAAGATTTGTATTACTCCAGCCTCCAATCTTCCCCAGCCAATGATTTCACCCAACTTCTCAACCCACCCCAACCCACTGACCTGACAGTTTCTATTATTTACTGACAGCTTTCTATGTGGTATCATCCCAAAGTGCCTTAACATTTAGTCATTGAGAACTACAACAGGCCTAAAAAAATAGATTTATCCTCATCTCTGCTTTTCAGATGAAGAAACTGAAGCCCAGAGAAGCTAAGGAGTTGCCCCCAGAATACTTAGCCATCAACGCAATAGAGCTAGGACTTGAACCTAGAGCTGACTTCCAGTTCAAACCTTAAATTAAAAAAAAATTAATACGATTTCTCTATCATAAAATTCACCCCTTTGAAAGCTTACAATTCAGTGACTTTAGCATTTTTACAAAGTCGTACAATGATTACCATTATTTAATTTGAGAATATGTTTATCAGCCCCATCTTTCATCACTCCTTATTCCTCCTTCTAATCTAATGTTTGTCTCCATGAATTTGCCTATTCTAGACATTTTATCTAAATGGATTTATACTGTATGTAATTCTTTATTTTAGCATCTTTTAGGTATCATATATTTTCCAGACTTGGCTTTGTGCTGATGTGTGTCAGTACTTCATTCTTTTTATGGGTGCATAATAACCCACTGCATGACTGACCATATTCTGCTCTTCCATTCCTCCTTGGCTTGTAACCCTAATTATGGCTATGGGTAGCATCCTCAAGGTCTAAGCAGATGCAGAAACATTCACCATTGCATCAGTGAAAGAAACAGCCTTTGGTAGTCAGGGAGCCAGCTGCTTTCCTAGGCACCAAGACAGAAAGGAGCCCCGACAAGGTAAGAGTCCCCACCAGACTTCCCCTGTCCACAACTAGGGCCACAGCCAGCACTTGCCTGGATGTGGCCCCAGGCTTCTGATCCAACCCCTTTTCTCAGAAAACCCCAAAAAATGGAGCCATCAAGAAAGGCTAGGGGTTTCCTCACTAGGCCCAAGGATTCACATGGAAGTCAGAGCCTGGAGCCTTGGCATGGGCTAAACCTCTGGGTTTGGTGACTTGCCTGAGGTCACACAATAGTGAAATTCCTGCAATCTAACTTGTGAGCATGTGATCCTCAGTACTCTGCCTCCTGGCAGCTAAATGCCAGCACCATGGCTGGAACTCAGTCTCCCACAATCGGGATGGAGAAGGAGTCTAGTGGTTTCCCCATTTGCTGTCACCTTGTTGCAGCCACTTGGAACTGAACCAGTCTCCCTTCTAATCCTGGGAACATATTACCTCCACACAGGCTGATCCTTCTGCCCAGAATGCCTTTCCCTCTCACCTCTAACAGTCAGCTTCCCCTGACTATACTCACTGCCAGGCCAGCCCTAATCACTCCCAAGAAAGTGAGCTCCTGAGTCCCTGGACCCCTCTGTGCAGTTCACGCATCTGTCTCTCTGCTAGACTCAGCTCCTCACAGCTGGAGCCTGGCCAGCTCCTCTTCCCTTAAGCTCTAGCTGGGTCAGGATATATTTTACTTGGATACACTCAGAAATCTGAGTACATAAAACTTGAATCTGCTGGAAAAAGCTTCATAGACTCCCATAATCCTTGCTCTTGTGGGGCACTCTCAGGTAGAACACATTTTCATTCTGTTCTACTTTATTATATTAATTCTATTTTTTCTATTTCTGTTCCACCCACTTTCTTTTTTATAATGTGAATTGTGATTCATTAAATTGATTTCCTGACCAACATGGGCCACAACCCATAGTTGAAGGCACTCAGTGTAGATTTGCCTAGGATTCATCTTCTCTCCCCTGTCCCATCCACTATGCCTCCCCAGTTGGTTACTTCCCTAGAGATGGGCCAGTGTCTGCTACTCCAAAGATCCTTCTCATTTATGCTTCCCTGCCTCTGCAGGCTTCTGCTTCTTGGGATGACCCTGTTACCTCTGTCATACCACCTATTTACATACCTCCCCCCCATTACACAGTTGTTCCCTGGATATCACCATGTCTGTCTTGTTCACTGCTGTGACTCAGCACCAGTACTGCAAGGTTTGGCAAATAAAGGAAGCAATGGATCAATCGGTGAATCTATAAAAGTTAGGGTTAATCACAAAACCAAGACTGGTTCTGACTCACATCCTGGGCTCACATTCTGCCACATTCTTGTGTTCTTCATTTCACATGATGAGAACCAAGGATGCCCTGTTCTCCCACTCCACAACCAACATTTGAGTCAGAACTCAGAACCCAACTGTACTACTTGCCAGCTGTGTGATGTGGGCAGATTACACATCTCTGAGCTAGTGAGTGGAGACTTCAGCAAGAATAGCTTTGGACTAGAATAGCTTTGGACTAGCTTTGCCAAGAGCTCAACCCAGAGTCTGATGCAGAGGAGGTCCCTATCAGTGGCTGTGTGAAGTCTAGCCTGCCCACAGTGAGGAGGTACCCGAGTATACTTACTTTTCAGACCATCTATGCTGTAGAGCTGCTTTAAGACCTCTGAGGCCCCCTGCTCTCCAGGCCCCAGAGAAGTCACCAGCCCCACAGGTAGCCCATGTGTCCTGAAAGTTGTGGCCAGCTGCTGGGCTGTGGCCACCCAGATGTCTTGATGGGAGGACACAATAGCTGAGCGAGCCCAGCCAAAGTGTCTCATGACAGACAGCAGCACATGAGCAGCAGAAGGCAAAGTGGGCACCAGTTCACCCCCACCCTCTGGAGCCTCACATGCCCAGGAAAAGAGGGTCTTGCCCCAGCTTTGGGCCAGAAGGGCTGCTGCGGGGCAGTAACCAGGATTGACAGGACCCACAAAAGCAGCCACAGTATTCTTGTGGGCTAGGAATGTGGTCAGGGCATGAGAGGTGTTGCAGCCTGTGGGGAGGACTACAGAAGCTAGCCGTGAGCCCAGGGATAATGAGGAATCCTGGTTGACTCGATTCACAGCCAGCTGGGCAGCCACACTAGGGATGGCCTGGGCAAAGGTGAGGTCACAGTCCCAAGGACCCAGTACCCCCACAGTGAAAGTTCCTGTTCCCATCACCAGATGAGGGAGGGATGCAGCCCATAGGAGGGCACCCCAAAACACCGTCGACAAAAGAGATATGGAGGGGGCTGTCCTTGGATGCCCACGAGTGCACCCCCTTGGGCCTTGGCACAGCAGGCAGGTCTTGTGTGGCAGCATCCAGTCCCAGCCTTCAGGGCACAAGCCCGCCAGCAGTCCTGGGAAAGGGGAATGTGGACAGGGTTTGCCTTCTAACATGCCAGCACTTCCTGTGTGATTGTGAGGCAAACACCCCCTTCCTGTAACAATGAAATGAGAGAGACTTGGACCCATGGTCTCCAAAGACTTCTCCCATGTATGTCCTCCAAGGAGTGGCTCCCAGCCTCCTAGAGTTCAAAGTCCTGCGCTGGAGCTCAATCTCTCAGTATGTGGGCTACAGGCACAGAGCCGGCCAGCTTCGACTCCAGGTTTCTGTCTGTGTGACCCTGGCCAACCTTAAAGCTTTCTGAACCTTATTTCTCTCCTCTGTAAAATCTGGGCAGTAACAGCGACTTCAAAGCATTATTGTGATGATTAAGTGACATCACACCTACTACTTAAAATAAAGCCTTTCTCTCTCTCTCTCTCTCTTTCTTTCTTTCTTTCTTTCATTCTTTCTTTCTTTCTTTCTTTCATTCTTTCTCTTTCTTTCTTTCTTTCTTTCTTTCTTTCTTTCTTTCTTTCTTTCTTTCTTTCTTTCTTTCTTTCTTTCTTTCTTTCATCTTGCTGTTCCAGAGCCTTGATGATCAGCCTGGTACTTTGTAGCCCCTCCCTGGCCTCTGCCTTCTTCCCAGCTATTGCCATTCTCCACCATAGGACCCAGCATCTTTCTTCTCACACCACTTATGCAGCTGGCAGTCTGTCCACTGTGGGGGCTCCAGGAAGCAATAAGATCCAGCCTCACCCTTACTGCCACACTAGTAAAAGGCAGGTCCCAGCCAAGAGAAGAGTTCACTATGAGCACAGGCAGTAGGTAGGACTAGGGGTCTGTTTGTGGGAAGGGAGGGGCTCCCCAGAGTGGGCAGAGCTCCATCAACCCCTCAATAAAAGTGTAACTCAGGAGAGTAAGGGCATGCCTCCATGTCAGGAGCAAGAGTGGGAGTAAAGCAGCTCCTCAGACATAATGCTACATGTTGAGGAATGCAAGGAATCACATAGCCGAATACACCCTAATTTCATCCTTTACTAGTCCTTAGGTAGGATTCTGGAGGAGATGAGAATAGCTACCCGGGAGAGTTATAAAAACAGAAGTGTGTAAGGTGCCTGAAGTTGAATTAAGTAAGCATATACTAAATGGAATAATTATCCTCATCATCACCCGAACATCACAGTCTTTAGATTTTTGAGGCTAGACAGGTAGACTGCAATGCAGAGGCAGCTGTCCAAGTTCTGCATTTGAGTTCGCATTAGTCCTCAATCATCCCCATCTAGAAAAGAAGCCCTTTACAGGCTACCTCTCTGCAGCCTATAATGCTGTGGTTCTCCTGGCCCGAGGCTCCACGATTTGGGGATGGCTGATTTTCTGTCAGCCTCTAGGCTGTTTTTCTGCTGTGATGCTCTTAGTGGTATTCTTACAGTCAGGATGAGGTCCATCCCACCCCTGAGATGAATCCCTTGGAGCAGCTGGATAAGCACTGGGCTCAAAGAAAACTGATCATTTCCAGTTGCTAGTGACAGTTGTCTCTCCTCCCAACCTGTCTTGTCAAGGCACCTGTGATCTACTTCTTTGCCTGGTACTCTCAGAGTCACCAGGAAAATACTTTTTATCTCTGCATTCAAAGGAGGAAACTGTGGCTAAAAACTTATCTCAAGTCTTACCAAAGTTAAGAACTGAAACTTGGCTTACAAACTCCCAACCAAAAAATAAAAATCCTTTCTTTTTATTAATATCTATAACATCAGAACTAAAAATTCCATGAAGAAATGAATATCTAGACCAATTACTTTGTGTCCAGATGAGAGGATTGTGGCAAAAATAAAGGAGGGTGGAATTCTTCCAGTCATGTAAAATAGCAGTAGTCTCCACTGGCTTGAGATCCTGCTGGCCACACTAAGTGCCCACAAGAACTCTGTAGCCACTGGTCTACGAGGGCTCACAGAGGCCACAAGTCAACAACAGACTTGCTTTGGGGCAAGACAGGATCTGATTTTATCCCACTTCTGTCCCTGATCTGTGGCACAGAGTTCACACTTATTTCTGTACCCTAGTTTTTGTTATTGAACAGGAAAAGCTGTATTCACATGTTTAAGTTTCCAAAGATCTTTCAGCTCTGTTGTTCTGCATGTCAATAAAAAGCAAGAAACAGGTGACTTTTCTCTGTGAAAAAGGGCAAGTTTCCTCTCCTAATTTTTCTCTGACAGTGTGAGACTTTCCAGTGTCCCCAACTCTGTTCAGAGTAGGCCAATGTGCCACTTTCTGGGAATGCTACTTGTATTTTTAGACTCTGGGAGATGGGCCCTGAGGATTAGCCTCGAGTTTCTTGGTTTAAAGCGTCAAATTCATGGAGTTAGTTACCCTCCCTAGTACCATAGCTCCAAGATGAATATGTCTATTGCTACATTAGCAGACAAGCAACTAAAATTGGATGTAGATAAGAATCCACAGGACAGGAATGGAGGACTCCTGCCTGTCAGGGGCCCTGCAGCCCCTGCAGGCAATGTTCACCCGCTTGACTCAAACTGGTCTTTTGTCCCTTTCTTGAGGCAAGAACTCACCTGCAATAATGAACCTGTGAGCTGACACTGCTTCTTTGCAGATTCTAAGCTTCCTACACCAGGTCACACTCTATGAGTAGGTTCCAGCTTGCGGGTGCTCATTCTCAGCACAGCCTCCATGTTCACCACTTCTGTTGCTGTTGGCTTCCTGAGACTCCTGCCTGGACAGTGCTTCATATATGGCCTGGAGAGTGCCTTATTCCTTCCCTGATCCCCTTAGGAGCCTGAAGAAGCCACCTGGAAAATTTGATCTGTTCAGATTCCAGGACTCTGGGGAGCCACCTGCAGAAAGGAAGGAGGGAAGGGAAAAGAGGGAGCGGGGAGAGGGTGTCTTCAGCACTGTGGACAGCTCCAGATCAGCTGGCATTCCCTGGAGGCAGGAAGGACTACCTCAGAAATCAGCATTAAGAAGTACCATCCCTTGTGCACGGCACTACATTCAACCACCAAGACAGATATTACTATTATTCCTACTTCAGTGATAAAGAAAGTATGACCCAGAGAGATGAGATAAATTTGAATCCAGGGCTCAGACCAAATGAATGGCAGGCAGGCTCATCACACCACAATGAGTCTTTGAGAATAGAGAGAGGTTTTTCTATCTTCCTTTTGATGTGGACACCTATGTGGAGATATGAACTCAGTCCAAGGGACTTTTCTCCTCCACTTGATTTATCTTATCCAAGGGAAATTAATTTTTGTATATCTCTACTATGTACTAGCATCATACATACCCCATTTCATGTCAGTCCTACAACAATCTTGTGAAATGTATATTGTGCTTTGTTTGCTTTGCTTAACTTTTTATTCATTCAACTCTTATTTACTGAGCTCCCACTTCCTGGCTCTGCTACAGGGCAAGTCAGCAGTACCTCCTGCCCTTCCCTCCACTCCCACCCTGCTTCCTGCCATCTTTTCAGTCCCTGTCATGTTTCAGGTACTGTCTTACAAGACACCTGAGCTGCATCAGCAAATGAAAACATCAGATTTTTGCTGCTCACAGAGCTAATTTTTTAACAACATAGGAAGGAGTGTGACACTCAACAAACAATAAACATGATAAGTAAGTACTATAGAAAGTGACACATATTTTGTTAAAAAGGTAAAGGCTAGTGATGCCAAATTGTAATCCCAAATATTGCATACAGTCATCCAAGTATTGTAATCCTCTTTCTAGTTTTCCTCACAATCCAAAAAGTTGTAATTGTAATCCCATTGAGATGTCATTGGAATCCCAGCAAGTTAATTCCAATCTACCACCTCCAATGCAACCCACAGTGAGAGTAAACACACCAAGACATATTCAAGTTAAGGGCAGCCAAGGGGTCCTAAATCTAATCACTGTGAGGATGTGCAGACAAAGGCCCTGATCCTAGGCCTCTCCTAGAATTTAATATCTTGTGAAGAAGGGAGATGGCTCAGGGATGAGTGGCAGTGAGAATGGTGGGAATTATGTAACCTGAGCTGGCTAGACAGGTAAAAAGGAAGCAATCTCTGCAAAATGCAGTTAGGGCTGGGGACTTAGCTCAGCCCTGTAAGCACAAGGTTGTGAATTCAATCCCTGATTAAAAAAAAAAAAAAGCAGAGATAAAGATATACAGGAGGATCAATTTGCCTAATCCAATTAAGGTAGCAACTGAATTGTTTTAGGAGGCTGTTGCTTTGGTTTCTGATATGTAAACTTCTGTGTTCTGGGGAGTCAAAGCTTCTTTACCTTGAGGCTCATACCCACTTGACATTCCCAGAGCTGCTGGCTCTAACATCCCGCTGTGCTCATATCTTTTACAGAGAGCACTATGCAAGGAAAAGGAGACTGTCAGCTTTAGAGATTACATACCAGTACCTGGCTAGCCTCATCTGCAATGCTTAGAACCAATTGAAGACAGAAGGAAGTACCATAGCCAGCTCTCTACATATCAGTATAAGGAAATAAGTCTCCCAATAATCCAAATTGCAGCAATTGTTTTATATTGAAGGGGAGTCACTGCAGTTGTCTTCTACAATGCCATGTGTATTATAATTCAGCGTAAGTGTTTTTCATATTGCTACTTAATATTTATGATTATAATTCCAATAGTCAAGCAAGATATTGAATAGCTATATCATAAATGACTAATTCTTGCCATATATTTTATTTAACCCCGTTCTTGTCTTGGAAAGATAATTTCAGGGCCCCCCTTCATGTGCCCAGACACACACCTGTTTGTTCTCAGATATGTTCCCTGACCTTCCCAGACTGAGCACCTAGAGGTGGACTGGGGGTGGAGGAAAAGGAAGAAAGGCTGTACTGCAGGACTGACCCTGAAAACTTCACTGTTCAGCATCTCTTGATATTGGCTTCTGAATGGATTCAGCCAATAGGAGACACTGGCAGGAAATGGGAAAACCTAAGAAAGGGAGAAGACAAAAAATTTCTCCCTCGCTCTTTGATCTGGGCAATGTCCCAATGTTAGCTGTATTTCCCTATTGATCCTGATCTCTTTGGGCATCCATCCCTATGTAGT